TAATGTAGGAACGGATAATGGCTAAGTATGTAGGTGGTAGGAATTTACGGAGTTTGTACATCAGTCCGGGATGCCAGACTCTACCAAACGCCTGTTCAACGTCGAGAAAGATTCCTGTGCAGTACATTCCGCGCTCCAATGCAGAGGAGACTACATCTACCACACGATGGCATTGCTGTATAGTGGAGTGGGATGTGCGGAATCCAAATTGGTGATCCGGGATAATTTGTTTAGAGTCTAGGATAGGATACAGGCTTTTTAAGATGAGTTTTTCCAGGATTTTGTCCATAATGGGTAAGAGAGAAACAGGACGGTAAGAGGATGGGTGTTCTGGCGGCTTCGTGGGTTTAGGTATCATTTTGACAATGGATAGTTTCCAAGGGTCAGGGAAATATGTGATTCGAAGTACAGCGTTATATATATATATATATATATATATATAGGTGAGGAATAGTATGGCTTTTTTAGGAAACAGTTTTAGGATCTGGGATGTGATTAGGTCATGGCCAGGAGCTTTGCGGGAAGGTAATCTATGAATGATATTGGATATTTCTGAAGGATGAAATGCTTTAGGTGGAGGTGTCAGTTGGAGTGGGATATCCAATTCTGCTTCAATAAACTCAAGGTGGGGAGGATTAAGGATATCTGGGTATGGATTAAATGTTTTGAAGAGGTGCTGAGCAAATATGTGTGATTTTTCTTCGTCAGATCTGGACCAGGTTTGGGTTTCAGTAATAAGTGGGTGGTTAAAATCTTTAAATTTAAGGAGCTTTTTAGTGGTCAACCATAATGATTTGTCAGTAGTAGTAAGTTTTTCTGTCATGTTAAGTAAATTTTGAATTTTGTATTTTTTAATTTCAGCTTTTAATTGGTTAGTTAATTTGTTGTGATATGTCTTATCTGATGGGTATCTGATCCTGTGCCACTTCGATCTTGCTCTGCGTTTTTTCCTTAATAAGATACGAATATGCTGTGGCAAGTTTGTCTGTTGGGAGTTGTTAATTTTATTGATAGAAGTATTATCGTTTATTTTGTCACTTATAGATGTAGTAAGTACTTCTAAGGCCGTGTCAATGTCATGTTTCGTCTTAAGTGGAGTATTTAGGTCCAATTTATTTTCCAGGTCTTTCCGAAATTTGTCCTAGTTTACTCGTCCTTTAATCAGTGTAAGAGGGGACGTGAACTTAGGAGCGAAGGTTGGGTGTAATGAAAGCAGAACTGGAGAATGATCTGACTAGAGGTCATCCAGGGATTTGATTGTGACATGGGAAGAGGAAATCTGGGAGGTGACAAATATGTCCAGGATATCAGGGCGTTTTCTGAGGGAAGTTGGCCAATAGGTAGGATTCATACGAGAAAGGACAGAGTAACTATTGGAAGTTGAGAGAGAAGATAGTATGTTACCACGGGAGTTGGATGCTCGTCAACCCCATCGTTGGTATTTAGCGTTATAGTCTCCTCCTGCAATAAAGCGCGATCCGAAGGATTGAAATAAGGATTCAAGTAAGTTGTAGGTAAGAGTATGACCAGGAGGACAGTATACAGCTGAGAGTGTTAAATGGAAAGGACGGGTTGTATATCATTGCTCCTCTGTCGACACTATGGTTGATATTCTAACCACTAATCTTCTCAATATACTCAATACCCATGCTCCTCTCAAAACCTCCACCTTCCGTCATCGCCCTGCTCCTTGAATGTGTCAGGAAATTAAGGATCTGCAGAAGAGACGCGACGCTGCACGCAAACGCTTTAGACGGACTAGGCTTGCAGATGATTATCAAACATTCAGAGCGCTTCGTAACACGACACAGACAAGGATCAGACAAGCGAAAGCGAACTACTTTCATGAAGCCCTTTCCTCAGCTCCTGATATCAAATCAAAATGGCTTCTACTTCGTAAGCTTTCCCTCTGTGAACCTTCTAGATCCTCTTCCTCAGTTTTCCCAATATCACCTGATGACCTAAACTCCCACTTTATATCGGTTTCCACCTCTTCTTTACCCTCATCTTCCGGCTTTTCTCCAGAGGTTCCTTTTAACGACAATAATTTTTATTTTTCCGACATTTCTCCCACAGACCTTATTACCGTTATAATGAAATCCCGTTCCAATTCCGTAGGCCCAGATGGCATTCCTATCAAACTAATAAAATTATGTCTCCCTGAAATCCTCCCAGCACTCATTTTCATCTACAATTTCTCCCTGCAGAATTCAATATTCCCGACCTCTTGGAAAAAAGCCATTGTCCTTACTTTAAACAAAAAGCCTAATCCATCCTCTCCCGAAGATTTCCGCCCAATATCAATCCTTTCCAATCTTTCTAAACCCCTAGAAAGGTTAGTGCAATCCCAAGTTTCCAACTTCCTTGAACAATCCAACCAACTCGATCCTCTCCAATCTGGCTTCCGTCCTGGCTACTCTACGCAATCTGCTCTGATTAAAATTACCAGTGATATTCAGACTGCAATTGATGACAAAAAACTAGCCATACTTCTTGATTTCTCCAAAGCTTTCGATTCCATTATCCATTCCATCCTTTTCAACAAACTAAAATCATTATCCTTCTCCAATAGTTCCATCTCTTGGTTCCAGTCTTTCCTCTCACAACGAACCCAAGCAGTTTCCATACCTAATCGACCTCTATCTGCCTACCTTACTTTATCCTCTGGAGTTGCACAAGGTTCAAGCATATCTCCTCTTCTTTTCAGCTCTTATATTAATGACCTAAATGATTCAATTATTCCTTGTTCCCACCACCTTTATGCCGAAGATTCTCAAATCTATTTATCCTTTTCTCCCGCTGAGTTATTGGTGGCATTTGCCATAATTTAGATCGAATTAGCGCCTGGACCGACTTAAATGGATTAAGGATAAGTGCTGCCAAAACTCAGGCCATTCTCATTGGTTCCAAGCCCCTTCTTAGATCCCACATCAACTTTCCCTCACTCTATCTAAACAACCATCCCATCACCTTCTATTCCTTTGTTAAAAATTTAGGCTTTCTCATAGATCAAACCCTTTCCTGGAATCACCATATCTCTCCGTGCAATTTCTACCCCTCAAACTATTCCATCACTTCCGCCATCTTCTACCCCAAAATACCTGTAGACTCCTAGTTTCCTCTCTCATCTTTCCCCACTTCGACTACAGCTGTGTGGTGTACGATGACCTCTCGGTGGAGCTCCGAGACAGACTCAAAAGACTTATGAATAGCTTTGTAAGATTTGTAATTGGGACCCCGAGACGCCCCCGTGTCTCCCACCACTACACTGAGTGAGGGTGGCTCTTCCTCTCCTTAAGAAGACAATATTTCCTAGGCACTTTCCTTTATCAAATCATTACCGATCATCGTCCTTCTTATGCCTACAACCTTCTCCAATTTAAGTCCTCAATCCATTCCCTCACTACAAGATCCCGACCCTCTGACTGATTTTTTTATTATTTATTCAATACATCCCTTCTCATAGATCTGCCTCATTCCAAAATTCCTTTATAGCCCGCTCTGTCAACTTTTTGAATTCTCTCCCGATCAAAATTCGACATGCCCCTTCCCTATACACATTCAAAAACCTCCTATTCCAATTCCTGTTCCAAAAACAGTGAGATACCAGCTAACTATTAATATTATATATGCATTGTGTAGCAATCATATAATCATAATACTTGGTAAGAGATAGTATATGCATTTCCTACTATCAACGTAGGAATTTCAATACATAATTTTTTTTTATCCAATTATAATTAACTGTTTATTTTTATATTTATATTCAAATAAAGTTTTTTTTTTTTTATGAAACGAACTCATTGTATCTCTTTTTCGTTCTTCATTTCTCAAAGTGTATGTTTATGTTGTTCAACCCTTATATATAATTTTGTTCATAATTTTAAATGCTCTGTACATAGTTTTATCTTTATTGTATATAGCTTGTGCACCTAAGGTTTTCTTTACTTTTTATTTTATTTTATCAATTTTATTTATTGTTTCAAACTGGCCTAAACCAGTAATATTCTATTATTTTGTACATTATTGTTATTCTGAAGGGACTTAGTCCCAGAATAAAGTTTTTTTTTTCTATCTATCTATCTAAAAATATATTAAAAACTGAAGATGAGCAACGGGATTACAATATTGCATAATTGCGGCATAAGAGATATAATATAAGAATAAATAGATAAATTCAATTAATAATGGGCATTAAATTAATTTTATGAGAAAACGATTGTGACAAAAAGAAATTATTACAATAAAATAAATTAATTATATATGTGTTACATATAAAATTAGTTGTATAGTTACAACGGACTCCGTTTTCATAAATGCTATCGTTGGTATTATTTAATATATGATTGTATAGATTACAGATATTTAAAAATTAAAATTAAAGGGTAATTAAACAAATAAAAATACCTAAAATGAAATGTAAATAAATATAGCGTCTATAATTTGTAGTTTCAGTTCCTCTTTGTCTGAAAATATTTATTTCTGTTAAGAAGTGGGTGGTAAGTGAAAGTGGTGTGATAAGCGCACCGGATTATTTGATATGTTACATCATTCTCAGTTTCTATTTTACTTCATACACAATCTAATGCACCAAAAATTAAAACAATAAGTAGATATATACCTGAAAATTTCAATATTAGATAATAATTAACAAGGAAAGTTTATTTGAAAAATGTGGTTCATTATCTTATTATATTAGGAATAGTCTTTCTTAATTATTCTGTGGTGTAATCAGTATAATGGAGTAATTAGTGTTCTTTTGTTGGACTTCATCTTGATAAGAAACTTAAAAGTTAGCCTCTTATAAGTCAATTATTAAGAAGATATTTTACTTAGGGTCATAATTGAACTTCTTAGACCGTCATAATCACATTACTTAACTTCTTAATTTTTAATATTTTAGTTCTAAAAGTCTAAATTTAACTTCACTAAATTTGAATTTGACTTTATGGATATATATTAATCTAAAACGTCTTTAAAAAATGAAGTATTCTACTTACTGAGGGACGATTTCAGTGGCATTATCTCTGGAACTATCAACTGAAGACAATTCGATGTCCTCCTCTAACAAGAAACCTCCGTTCATTTTGGGCCTAAAAGCAAAATATTTCCTTTAGTATAAAATATACTAAATATGAAGCAATGAAGATGAGGGAAGAATTCCAGTAATGTGTAATAAAATAGTAATATAATAATAATGATATGTACATGGCAGAGATGGGCAAATGCTACTCTAAGTACTGAGTATAGTGTTGCCCAAATGCGAGACCGAGACGAGTCTTGGTCTTGCAACTTATTACTATAGAAATATCACTGTAATTTTTTAGATAGGAGAAACCTAACAAAGCCTGAATGAATAATTAGAGGAGTTAAATGCAAAAGTATATTGGTTATACCAATTATTAACATATAGTAACTAAGATTGTCAAGTATTAGTAACTATTTTGCCTTAATTATTATTTAAACAATAGATTTTTTTACCCGTCCTGGTCTTGGTCTTGCAACATTTATGCGGCTTTGGTCTTGGCCTTGCAAAGTGCAAGAAAAAGACCGATTTTGGCCAACACTAACTGAGTACCAAATATTTCACTCAAATACTGACCATTTTTAAGTACCGAAGAATTTAAAAATTCAAATTTCATTTGATGTCAAACGATTATCTGAAGTAGTGATTGAATTTGAGTAAATTACTTGGTACTCGGTACCCAGAGTAGCATTTGCCCATATCTGCCTCAAGGGCGAATTTCACATCTCAAATTTGACAAATAAATTCTCTCCTAACCATCATTCACTCTTATTTGTTTGATGGGAAATATAATTTTAAAGTTCTTATTTTAATTCATGGCTTATTTATATAAAAAGTCTTCTATAACTTCCGAAACTGATGTTAAACAAGATTAGATAGGATATTTATTTATTGTTTATTATCAGTAAGACCATCGAATCCGGTGAAAACATGAGACACAAAAGTTTCTTTGAATCTTAAATATCATAGATTATTTTGGGCTGGATCTATAGTGGTTGGGCTGGACACTCTCCCCCTGATTTCATGCCTTCTTCATGATCCCAGCCTGTCTAAAATCTATCAAAAAACCAACAACAAGCATATCACTTCTAGTCATACTGGGCCATATATTAATGCTAAATTCGTGCTGGTAATGTTTTATGATTATTACGTGTGGGTCGGCGTTAACCCACGTATGGGATCTGTGTAAATACGAAGTAACTATCCTTCTGATCGTTTCACATTTGACCACAGAAATAGTTCTTTACCACGCACATCAACAATTTATAAACAATAAAACAATATAATTCCTATCCTTCCTATCTAAAAACTAGTATCTATCAACCAAACAGTTTCAACTCGACCAGAACGACTAAGTAATAACTAAATATTTTTCACACTACAGGTTATTGTTCATTATAGTATTAACACAAGTCTTATTTGTATCTATACATTAGTATTAATATCTTTAGTAGTCAATTTGTCCTGTAATATTATTCTATAATTATACCACATTTCGCAATACGCTATATGTTAATATTAATTATATATATATATATAATTAATAGCCCTATACACACACATATATATATATATATATATATATATATATATATATATATATATATATATATATATATATATATATATATATATATGTATATGTATATGTATAGGGCGTAGGACTGATGACCATACTCCGTGTACTTCAAGGTCTACCAGGATGTTAGTAGTCCCCCTGGGGTTCGGTCCAGGAACAGTCTGTTTCGAGTAAGAAATATCGATCCTCGTGCGCCTGCTGAGTACGACTAGCCATAATCCAGGGATCTAGACCGATTTGTCACTGTCCTTGAACCCAAGTGAGTCAGTGGGAAGGACACTGCCAGATTGGCCGTGTTGATCCAAAGGGATCAGCTATGAAGCTATGGGTGGCCTGTCGCTGCACCATGGTTCGTAGAAACGTGAGGTTGGGTGACCCCCTGCAGGCTATCTGAGCTGCCGTAAGGAGACCACCTCTAGCGGCCAAAGATCATCATGGTCTGTAGTGCCAACCGAAAAAAAAAAAAAAAAAAAAAAAAAAAAAAAAATATATATATATATATATATATATATATATATAATGTGTGTGTGTGTTTATTTATTAAGACCGTTGGGGAAGCTGAAGATGCCAAAAGGGAATAGGCAAAACTTTTTCACGCCGTTGTGTATATTTATAGTTTTTATTTGGCTTCAAGATTTTAATCAAAATCCTATAAATCTGTATAGTTGTACATTTGTCGAAGTATCGAGGAAATCGTTTATGTTTCCAGCAGTTTAAAATAAAACATAATGTTAAATTCAAAAGACATTTCTCGGCCTCAATTTCTAAACTTTCCAAGATTCTTCTTCAGATATCTCTCTCTAGCTAAACCATAATAATGATCCTATGGTAATTACATTTTTCAATCTTAAAATCTGGACCTAAAATTCTCATAATATATGGAGGCTTTTATTGACGCTTAGTATCTTCTTTCTAGTGTCATTGAAGACTGGATTTGTGTTACGAAAATGGACTATTATATCACTTTTTATTCTGCAAAGTAGGAAGGTCTCTTCTACCTAGAAAATAACGAATTATTTGTTGAAGTCCTGGAAAATGAAGGGTTCTTATAGAGGCTTATTTGGGCGCATGCTTTAGGGATCTTCAATTACAAGCAAGGCTCAATAACTTCGAAGTTAAGTATCTCTGGGGAAAAGGAGTGATTCAGGGAAAATTGTATGTCCTTCCTAAGTCAATAGCTCCGGACTTTCTCAATAATTCCCTTCAAATCTTCTTTTCTCCGAAAAGTCCTCAACCTAATATCTCTAGAGCAGGTGTTTTGATACAGTTGAACAATATATAGTCGGTTTATTGCAAATAGTCACTAAGTTTATTTCTAATGGTTCCGGACTTTTAAGAATATTTTTTTTAACTTCGATCTTAACGACTGTATCGTTAAATAAACTCGATAAGGGCAATGAAATGACACTTACCCTTATAGTAACAACAAAAGAACATTTTTGTATTACACTAACGGAAAATTCATCAAAGTTCTTAGAGATTTAAGGTTATGAAATGTCACTTGGTGACGTTTGCAGTAAACCTATGTTATATAAATGCAATTTTTTTTTTCACAGGATGAATAAATGAAAATAAAAGATATTTTAGAAATCAATGTAAATTTAACCTTTTTTCCGCTCGTTTAACACCTTTAGTCATAACATTTAACTGCTGTCATAAAACTTTCTGAGAGGGCTTTTAAATAATTCATTAAAATCGAAATAAATTTTTGCAAATGAACGTTTGCAATAATGCACATTGAGACGTATACGACAAGTTTATTCTTTAGGAACGTAAAGTTGTTTGATATGTATTTAATTAAAATAAACATAAAACTAGAAAAGAGATATACGATGGCTAGGTTATAATTGGAAAAATCCACACAACAAAGCCACGAGTCTCCAACTTACAAGTGAATAGTTGTCAACGTTTCGGCAATCACCAAGAAAGAAAAACCAAGACATGCAGGAAGAGAAAAAAAAAATGAATGCAGTAGACATCTTAGGAAGCCAAAATCTTTGTTTCTCCCCTTGTATTACATCAAATCAGCTGTTCAATGCAGTGTTGCCGCGCTTTGTGACAAATCGTCGTACATCCTCGTACGCTTGCTCATTGATAAATCGCACTATTGTAGGCCCAATGTTATTGTTTTGTTTTTAAAAATTAAATTAGATTGCATCTTTACTTATAAAATCTATTTATATATTTTAAAGCCTTTTTACATTATTTTTGTTTATGTTAATGGGCCAAAAAGTAAAATGGGGTTAATTTAAGGCACGATATTAAATATATAAAAAAGTGCATACTTTTTTAGAAACTATTGGAAACTTTCTATAAAAGTTAAAATAGTAAAATAAATTCATTAAAGTAAAATAGAAAACACATTATTATGACTTCATTTATTATGACATAATTGAAATTAATAAATATTAATTTTTTATTTTTATGCTTACTTAGAACTATTTAAATGAATTTGAAAATTGTAGTTTTATGAAGGAACTAATAGATATACTTTCTTATATTTTATTTTATACTCGACAAAAATCTAAAATATTTTTTTAAAATTACGGTATCATTTTTTTAAAATTTTGTTTTTTAGAAAAAAAAAACATTATGGTTTTATGAAGGAATTAATAATCATATTCTAATTAAACAAAATATAATTGCAGTTTATTTATATCTAAAGCAACAGAAGTCCAGTATTTCATATTAATATAAATAATAATATAGTATAAATCTAAATAATTCTAAAACAAATCTAAACTTCATTAATAAAAATATAACCTTCCATATGTCAGCAAAAATTATGTACGAGGTAAGAGGCTGGTCGATCCTCGTACCTCGTACATTACGTTAATACGACTCGTACAAATACGAGGATCCTGGTACAAACGGCAGCACTGGTTCATTGTAATCTTTCTTTGCTGTTGTTAGTAAAACCTTCTCTTTCCTTTAATATATATTTCGATGGCTTCCTGAGATATCTACTGCATTAATTTCTTTTTATTTTATGCATATATGTGATCTTCGTTTTTTTTTTCTGCCCTGACGATGCCCGAACTGGCGAAACGTTAGCAAGTTAACTATTCACTTCTATGTTGGATATTATTCCAATTACAACATATGTATATAAAATGAGAAGATATTTTGTAAACAGAAAATGATGTAAATGCGTAAGTAGCTTATCACTACTGTTAAGGTGTTACGTAAAAATTCAAGAAGAATCGATTATTTCTTTATGAATTGTAGGTATAATTTTATATCTTATTTCTCTCTGTTTTTATTATATTTAGGAGACTATTCCAATTTATTTCTACATTGGACATTATAGAATATTCAATTATTAAATAATTGTTTAAATTAAATAAATAACGGCTTTGTCTTAATGGTTTACTTAAAATAATTGAATAATGCGGATTTTGAATTGTTAAATAATTATTAATTAAATACGAGGTGGATAATTAGTTCCTTGGGTATAACAGTATTAATCTTCTCTAATGTTAACTGCT